GCCCTCCCCAGCCCATGAAGATCCACCAGGACTCCCTGGAGGAGCAGCAGGAGAAGGAGGCAGACACTGATCCTGTCTACGAGGAAGTGGGGAACTTCCCCGAGCTGGCGGCGCTGGACCTGGGGCAGGGGCTGCTGGCAGAGCTGGCGGCCGTGCCCCCTGTGGACAGGTCCAAGAAGCCATCCCCGTTCCCTGAGGAGCCCCCAGGCACCGCCCTGCGCTCCTCACTGCCCGCCAGCCCAGCCCACAAAGTGACAGGTCCCTCTGTCACCAAAGCTGTGTCTCTCGAAAGGGGTTTGAACCTGGAGAGCAACAAAGCTCCAAGCCCAGGGCTCAGACCCACCAAAACGTCCTCTCTGGAGAGGAACGTGGAGCCTTCCCTGGCGCTGGGCAGGGACTGGGAGCAGGCAGCCACACCAGAGAGCAGTCCCACTGCAGAGACCTCCCTGGAGCTGCCCAGGAAGAGGAGCTTGCAGCCTCCCTCACCCATCAGTGACAAACTGATGCAGGAGCTCAGCAGTGTCATCCTCAGGAAGAGCGATGGCCAACCCGCGGGGCCTGGCCAGCCGGTGACGTGATCGCTGTGCCAAAGGGGTGGCCACCGACCTGGGGGTCAAGTCGTGCCCGGTGGCAGAGATGATGGGTGCCCCACACTCCCACATCATGGAACCCCCCACCCTGCTCCTCCTCCTCATCCCAGAGCCAGGCTGGGATCGGGAATCGAAGGGACAAGTGGCAACCAGGATGTTGGGCCGTGGTACCCCCTCGTGGGAGGGCCGGGACTGCTGCCACCCGTGCTCTTGCTCATGGGTGGCACATCTGTCATCGAGCCCAGCACTGAGGGACACAAGTAAAGGGGAAATGAAAGCAGGAACACGGTGCCCGCATGTTTTGGCAGCATGGCACCGTGCCAGGCAGGGGGCATGGGGTGCCTGCCAGCACGGAGGAACACAGCATGTCCCCTCCAGCACTGGGCCTGCGGGGCAGGGCCAGGACACCCAAGCCACCCCCCCTTCCCTTCTTGCATCCACTTTGGCATATTTTGGGGGGAAAGGGGGAGCAGCAGGAGCAGGGCTGGCCGTGTGTGCCTGGTGTTAGTCCTGGCTACGGAGGGCAGCCCCTCCTCAGCGAGGGTGTTTGTACCTATTCCTGCTACCGGCAGGGAGAAATAAAGGTTTATTTGTACTCTGGAGGGTTTGGTCACTGCAGGAGGAGCGGTGAGGGATGCCAGGGTCTGGCAGGTGAGGAGATCAGGCTGCCAGGCACCCAGCTGAGGGTCCCGTGGGATTGGGCAATGCTAGTTCATCAGGGGGGCAAAACAGGCAAAATCCTTGTGAACCTCAGATCCAGGTGGGATTTTTTGCCCAAGTCTTTTGCCAGCCCTTTGTGGGGAGCATGCTTCAGGCTCCCCCATCCCCAGGGCAGGGGGACACAGCCTGGCAGCCCTGGCTCTGCTCACTGGACCTCAGCGGCAGGGCTGTCTTCTCCGTGGACCTCCCCGACGAGGCCTCGAGCCTCTGCAGGCAGCGGCCTCCTGCATCCCGGACCCAGCCCCGAAAATCCCGGGAGACGTAGAAGTAAATGAAGGGATCAAAGCAGTTGTTGCAGGCGCTGAGCACCAGGGCCAGGGTGTAGGAGATGTAGGTGCCGTTGTTGCAGCCCGTGGGCTCCAGCAGGTGGTGGATGAAGAGCATCACATTGCTGGGCGTGAAGCAGAGGATGAACACCAGGAGGACCAGGGCCAGGACACGCACCACCTGTGCGTGGCTCCCTCCCTTGGCCAGCAGCCGCGCCAGGATGCAGCTGTAGGAGATGATCATGAGCACGAAGGGCAGGCCAAAGCCCAGCCCCACCAGGAACAGGAAATAGTAGCCAAAGAACATTTGGGTGTCCTTTTCTAGCACATTGTGGCACGTCGTGATGTTCAGCATGGAGATATTGTGTGTGTGGGAGCGCAAAAGCAGAGGGCTCATGCCCAGCCCCACCAGCAGCCAGATGCCCACACAGATGCCCACTTTGCCTCTCATCCAACTGGAGCCCTTCCACAGGAACGGGTGTGCCACAGAGATGTAGCGCTCCAGGCCGATGCAGGTGAGGAAGAAGATGGAGCTGTACATGTTTCCGTAGAAGAAGGCCACCATGGCACGGCACAGGTAGTCCCCAAAGGGCCAGTGGTTGCCCAGGAGGTGGTAGGAGATCTTGAAGGGCAGCAGGAGGACAAAGAGCAGGTCGGCCCCAGCCAGGTTGAGCAGGAAGATGGTGCTGGAGCATCTCCTGAAGTTGGTGGCCAGGACCCAGCAGGCCAGAGCATTGGCTGGCAGCCCCACCAGCAGGACCACGGAGTAGAGGGCAGGCAGGAGGCGGGTGCTGAGGGTGCTTTTGAGAAAATCTTCCTCGGAGGCCTGGGAGCACACGTTCTTCTCCTGGGGAGTGAGGGGGAGCAGGGCGCGCCCTTTCTTGGGCACTGTGGGGACACAAGGGGACAAAAGGCATCGGGCTCAGCCGAGGGAAGGAGCTGTCACCCCTCGCTGCAGAGCCACCACTAAACACAGGAGGTGGCATCTCCCTGTCCCACGGCAGGGAGCCCCCAACACCCTGCTGCCCTCACCCTGCAGAGCTGTGCCCCACTCTGTGCCAGCCAGCACCGCAGCAGTGCCAGCCCAGCTGGGTGCCCTGCTCTGAGCCCGGACGGGCTCTGCTCCCCAGCCCTGCTGCTGCCGACGTCCCTTGTCCTACCCAGCTCGGCACAACGGGGTCAGGAGGGCAGCACGGGGCTGGGATAGTCCCAGCCATGTCCCCAGCTCTGCTCCCTGCCACAGCCAGAGACATCATCTCATCTTCCTGTGGTCAGGGGTTTTTCACTGTGTGCAAAGAACTAAAGCGAAGAACAGGAAGGCCCCAGGACACCAGAGAAACAACCCAGGATCAAATCCCTTTTCTGGCTTGCTCAAAAAAAAAAAAAAAAAAAAACCAACACCCAGACAGTCTCTGTATGTCATTCCCAGCTGCAGAATTTCTGTCCTGATGGTCCCCAGAACACCCTACCCCGGGGGGCTTTGGTTGCATCCAACGCATCTCCCACAACCTCTGCCCCCTCTCCATATCCAGAGGATGGAAAATTCAGGTTACGAGAGCAGTAATCTGAATTTTGCTGCCAAAAGGGAAAATGCTGGCTGGGTTTCAGGTCTTCGCTCAGATTCTCAATGTGGACATTGAGGGAAGGCAGCAGAGCAGGGCCCCAAACTCTCCCCATGTCACCTAGCCATCACCTCCAAGTGTCACGGGACGTGATATTGGGGTGTCCCAGTGAGGTGTCCCTGCCCTAACCCATCACTCCAGATCCACTGAGACACTTACCTGAGGAGGGTTGGGTGGCAGAGCCAAGCCAGGCACAGCTGATCAGGAGGGTGACACAAGTAGCAGCAGAAGCAGGTGACAGCAGCCGCCAGGACATCTCTGTGGAGTGACCACTGTGCCAGCCAGGTCTGCACAAATGGCACAGGGCTGGTGACACGGCAGGGCTGTCACCCGCCCCTTTCCCTGCTGACACCCCCCTTTGTCTCCACCACGTCACACCAGCATCCTGCCCACAACCCTGCGGTGTGGCAGCCAGACTGAGGCGTGGGGTGACTGTCAGTTGTCACCATCTGAGCACCTGAGGCACGCCACCGAGGGAGGGAAATTTCCAGCTGCCGTCACACGACCGCACACGACCGTGGGGAGGAGGAAGCGGCAAGAAGCAGCTGGAGGCAGCCAGGAGAAACACAGCAGGAAGATGGATCTGTTTGTGCCCCGTGTGTGGGACAGGAAGGTGGCAGCGGGTTCCCAGCCGGGTGACATGTGGCCCTGCCCCACTGCAGCACTCCAGGGCACTGGGCATCCTGCCTGCCCAGCCCTGCCAGGACCAGACATCTCCAGGACCCACCACTGGGGTCAGGCTGACATGCTGGTGTCACAGCTTGGTGTAGATGGGGCCACCCTGCATTGTCCCCTTCTTGTCACCAAAGTGGGTGGCTGGGGGACCTCCAGTCCATTTTTCCAGCTAAGAAGGGGAATACCAGCGCCAGTGACACATCCCCAGCCCATCCTTGTGCATTGTCACACACCAGGGGACCGGGACATGTGCAGCCAACCCCAGAAATGTCATGGGACGAGAAAGACGGGGACAAATGGGACAGTGGGGAGAGCCATGAGCTGTGCAGGGAGCACAGAGAGAAATCCATACAGAAAGAGAAGTGAGCGATGAAGGGGGTGGGAGAGGGTTGGGAGGGGGACGGGGGAGACTCAGGGACTGGTTGAGAGCCCCTCATGATTCCAGGTGGCCCCCACTGAATGCCATTGCTCAGCTCTGTGCCCCTGTCCCCACGGCAGAGTCATGCCAAGCCAGGGGCTCTGTGTCCTCCATGTGATGTGGGACCCCACACGTCCCTGTGCTGGGGGCTGTCCCCTCAGTGTCCCACACGTCCCCACATCCCAGGGCCAGTGCACCAGCACCCCATGTGTCCCATCCTGGGACCAGTGTCCTGTGTGTCCTCATGCACAAGGACTCGGTCCCCAGTGATTCCAGTACTGTGTGCCCCAGCACTCCCCTTGTCCCCATGACCCCCTGCCCGAGGACAGTACTCCCCATCACCTCATGTCCCTATGATGCTGTTCTCACACATCCCCATCTCTCATATCCCTGTGTCCCCATGTATGTCCCTGTCCTCCTGTCTCCCATGTCCCCATGTCCCTGTCTCACATATCCCTGTGTCCCATATTCCTGTCTTCTCTTGTCCCCATGTCCCCGTCTCTCATGTTCCCATGTCTGCATGTCCCTGCCTCTCATATCCCTGTGTTCCCAATTCCCTGTCTCCCCACGTACATGTTCCCATCTCCCTATGTCACATATCCCTGTCACATGTCCCTGTCTTCCCACATCCTCAGGTCTCCATGTCCTTCCCGCTCATATCCCTGTGTTCCCATGTCCCCCTGTCCCCGTGTCCCATCGCCCTGCCCACCCGTACAGCACGGACCACCAGGCGGCGCTGCAGCCCCCGAGAGGCGGGGCTTGCTGGGCGCGATGGGCGGGGCTCCCCGGCAGGGCGGGTGAAGGGGCGGGCCGTTTGGGGGCGCGGTCTGGGGGCGTGTCCATGTGAGGTGGGCGGGGCCTGATGGGGCAGGCTCGTCTTGGGGCGTGTCTGTGAATGGTATGGGCGTGGTCAGTATGGGGCGTGGTCAGTGGGCGGGGCGTGGCCGGCCCGGCAGTTCCGGGCTCCGCGCACGCGGGTCGGGGCGGCGGCGATCGGGGACCGGCACCGGGATCGGGATCGGCACCGGGACAGCGCAGCGATGCAGCCGCCGCCGCGCAAGGTGAGCGCCGGGCCGGGCCGTGCCGTGCCGTGCCGTGCCGGGCCGGGCCACAGGGCGGGTCACCGGGGCCCGGTCCTCCCTCGCTGCCGTGTCCTGCAGCCGTGACCGAGACTCGCCCCCGGCGGAGCCTCCCGGGGCTGGGGAAGCGAGGCCGCGTTTGGGTGGCGCTCAGGACTGGGGGCCGGTGCACCGGTACCCGGGCAGGGCGGACAGCGCATCCCCGCAGCCCGTGCCCGCCGCGGCCGCGGGGCTGAGCGGGACATTCCCGCAGGTGAAGCTCACCCAGGAGCTGCGGGTCCATCTCCTGGAGCAGCTGTCGGGCCTGCAGAGCAAACAGCAGCGGGACGCCGAGCTGCTGGAGGACATCAGGTAGGGCCCGCACAGGTGACACCCGGGTCGAGCAGAGAGCGGGCAGCTCATCCTGTCTGTGTGTGTGTGTGTGTGTGTGTGTGTGTCCCCAAGCTGACACCAGGCACTCATCCCACCAGTGTGTGTGTCCCCAAGCTGAGACCGGGCAGCTCATCCCAGCAGTGTGTGTGTCCCCAGGCTGAGATTAAACAGCTCATCCCACGTGTGTGTGTGTGTGTGTGTGTGTGTGTGTGTGTTTGTGTCCCCAAGCTGAGACCCGGCACGGGAGGGCCAGGGACCCGGCATGGCTCACCTTGAGCCTGTCACCTCGAGGTCATGGGCTCCATCACCCTCTGGGGTGGCCTGATGGGGACAGGATAGTAAGGGGGTGATGGCAGGGGGATGGTGGCAGCAAGTGATGGCAGGGGTGGCCCATGCCTGCCCCTCTCTGTGTGTCCTCTCTGTGTCCCCTCTCCCCCCAGGTCCTACAGCAAGCAGAGGGCCACCATTGACAGGGAGTATGGGCAGGTAAGAAGGTGCCACGGGATTCGGGATCAATGTTCCTGGGGGGCCCTGGCCCCATCCTGCCGGCCTGGGGCAGGAGCTGGGCACGGCCCCACGCAGGCAATGAGCAGCCTCCGAAATTACCCGAGCGTGGCTGCTCCGTGCTGGCCCGGGAGGGTCCAGCAGATGGCTCATCCTGCCAGAGGACCCTGACCACGTTCAGCACCCGCTGGGGGCTCTGCTGAGCACAGCATGGCGCAAACCTTGGGTGTTTTGGCAGCCTGGAGGGAAAACCTTGTGGGGGGAGGAAACCGCTGGGCTCTGCTGTCTGCTGGGTCATCGCAGGGCGCTGCTCTGAAATGTCAGTTTGGTTTTGATGTGAGATGTCCCTGCAGCATTCCTTGAGGACATACTGCAGCAGAATTGTGTCCCCCCTTCCTGCAGCTGGTCATTGTGTCACTCCCCTCCCTCACACCCCCCAGGCTGGGGGTGACCATCCATCCCCCCCAGGGTTGGGGTCTTGCTGTGCTTGGCTTTGCTGGGGCTCCTTTACTCTGTCTCTGTAGCCAGTGTCCCTCACTGATGTCCCCTTGCAGGTGCTCTTTCCCAAAAGCCACAGTGGGGGTGTCCTTTCATTGTGGTGGCTGCCCCCCCAAAAGGTTTTGTCGTGGAGAGCACAATGGGATTCCTGCTGACACTGAGCCACGGGGATGTGTCTGTGCTCTGGGGGAGCACGTGTGTGTCCCCAGGTCCATGGGGTGGGCAGCCGGGGTGGGGAGCCCAGTTTTGGGTCGAGAGGGGGGTGGTGGGTGCTGGAGTGCTCAGCAGGGTCGGGCAGTGCTGGTGATGCCGGGTCTGTCTGCAGGCACTGCAGAGGCTGGCCAGCCAGTTCGTGAAGAGAGACTGGCAGCGGGGCCGTGGTGAGGCTGGCGACTCCAGGTGGGCTGGGGACAGGGACAGGGCTGGGGACAAGCAGCTGGGGCTTGCTGTACTTGCCCATGACCCTCCCAGCTTGGAGATGCTTATTGCCAGCTAGGATTTGGGTGTCACTGGGATGCAGCTGTGGGTGGGATGTCCCCAGTGCCAGGGTCCTGCTGGGTCTGGGGGTGCTGACAGTCCTGCTGGGCATCCCTGAAAGGTGTCACGGGGCAGGGAGTGCCTGGCCCTGTGTTAACCTTGTGCCCACAGGGGCGTGGCCGCTGTCTGGAAAGGCGTCATCGAGGGGACAGCGCACGCCGGGCAGGTCCGTGTCACCGCCTCCGAGAGCTACCGCGCCCTGGCCGCCGAGGCCGCCCGCAGCGCCCGCCTCTCCAAGGAGAGGACGCTCAAGAAGGTACCGGGGCAAGGACATGTCCCTGTGCCCGGGCGGTGGGGACAGCTGTCCCCCCCAGCTGACGCTCCCTGCAGGGCATCGAGCGGCTGCAGAAGGCGCAGGTGGAGCTGCTGGAGACGGTGAAGGAGCTGGACAAGGCAAAGAAGCAGTTCAGCCACCTGCGGCGCAGCAGCGAGGTGGCCAAGGACAAGGCGGCCGATGTGGAGGCGCGGTGAGTGGGGGACACGAGGCCGGGGGGCTGCTGTGGCTGTGGGGTGCTCTCACACCCCCTCCCATCCTCCTCAGCCTCCGCAAGAGCGACCGGCGGATATTTCACACCAAGGCCAGCCTGCAAAAGCTCAGTGCCAAGGTTAGTGGCGCGGGGATTGGCAGCATACCCACGTGCGGGGATGCAGGGGGACACAGGGCACCATCGCCAAGCCACACTGCCCACGTCCCCACAGTTCTCAGCGCGACTGGCCGAGCACTCGAGGCAGCTGGCGGGCGTGCAGAATGAGTACAGCTTTGCCCTGGTGTCTGCCTCTGCCCACCTGGAGCATTACCAGCGTGTGGAGCTGCCCGCAGCCATGCAGGTAGGAGATGCCCCTTCCCCAGGGTCCCTCAAAGAGTATCTCCCCACTGCCAGCAGGGAGGGTCCCGCTGGCACAGGGTCAGGGCTGGCTGTCCTGGGGGCTCAGGGACGTTCCAGGGTGGGAATGTGGCAGTGCTGGGGGTGTTCCCATCTGCTTTCCCCAGGCTCTGGACGGGGACCTCTACGAGCGGCTCCGGGAGCACTTGTCGGCCGCCAGCCGGACGGAGGTGGAGACCTGCCGGGCCACCCGGGACTGGTTCCAGGGCGTTGTGGAGGCATCCGCACGGGTAATGGCACTGTCCCCCAAGCTGGGTGGGACACGAGGGCACAGGTGAGCCCCCGGCCCCATGCCACTCCCCTGCTGCAGGTGTGCCGGGAGCAGGACCTGCTCCTCTTCCTGCAGGACCACCCCGCCTTCTCCCTGGCGCCCGAGCAGCGCTTCCAGCTCACTGGGGTGGAGGAGGTAAGCGGAGCGGGTCATTACAGCAAGGTGGGGTCTGCACAGCCAGCCCCTTGTCACCGCCGTGTCCTTGCCCAGGTGTGCCTGCTGCCACCAGCAGACGATGGGGCCAGCCTGGAGAAGGAGGCGCGGCGCTGGGCCACGCGGGTGGCCCGAGAGCACAAGAACAGGGCACACAGCGAGGAGGTGAGTGTTGTCCTGCCCCACGGGGCACTGGGGGGCCAGGGAGGGGCTTTTGCAGCCCGTTCCCAGCTGCCACCACCCTCTGAGCTGTGGGTGCCCGCCCAGGTGCTGCAGCGGCTGGAGGCCAGGCGGCAGCAGGGGCTGGAGGCGGAAGTGGCGGCCGTGGAGCGGCAGATGGAGGAAGTGAGGGAAAACATCCGCAAGGCAGAGGTGGGACCCCCAGTCAGGGAGTTTGGGGTGACATCGAGATCTGTCACCCCCAGGGTGCAGGGACAGGGAGGGGTGGCGGCTGGGATGCTGCCCTTGGGGTGTGGCGCTGGGGATGCCACCACCCCTGGGGTTGGGGGCAAGGGGGTTGGGACACCGCCACACGTGTCCTGGGGACTGTGACAATGCGTGGTGTCCCCAGGTGAGCCGAGTGAAGGCTGAGGCACGGCTGGCACTGCTGCGGGCGGCAGGGCTGGACGTGGACGCCTGGCTGGCTGGGGCCATGGTGGGGACAGGAGAGGAGACCCCCGCAGGGCTGGACCCGGCCGAGTTTGATGACTATGAGGACAGTGATGAGCCAGATGAGGACGATGAGCCTGGGCCTGCTGCCCGCACCTACCCCTACACCTGCCGGGTGATCTTTGGCTACCAGGTATGGCCCTGCCTGCCTGGCCCTCACCCTGACTGCCGAGGGATGGCACCTCAGCCCCTCTGCCACTTTGTCCCCATCTCCTGCAGGGCTGCCAGGCGGACGAGCTGTCCATCAGCCAGGGCGAGGAGCTGGAGATCATCGAGGATGGGGATGCAGAGGAGTGGGTGAAGGTGGGAGGAGACTGAGCCCCCCTCCATACTGGGGCACACTTTTTGGAGGTCCTCAGGCTGGTCCCACTCTGGAGCCTGGGATGTTCACATGGTTTCTGCCTCCTCAGGCTCGGAACAAGGCTGGGCAGGTTGGCTACGTCCCTGAAAAGTACCTGCTGTCCCTGGGGTGTGACTCGGGTGCTGGGCTGGGCCCCCCAGGCCCCTCTGCCTTGCACCGCCAGCTCTCCAGCATCATGGCTGCAGAACTGGTGCTGGAGCCTGGAGGTGGGTGCTGGGCATCACCCCCACCCCAGAGAGGGGGGCGGGATCCAGAGGGTGCTGAGCCACCCCCCGTCCTCCCCGCAGCCTGGCTGGTGCGAGCCCTGTATGACTACGAGGGGCAGAGCCCTGAGGAGCTGAGTTTCCCTGAGGGAGCCATCATCCGGGTGCTGCCCCGCGCCGCTGGCGAGGTGGACGATGGCTTCTGGACCGGCGACTTCGACGGCCGCATCGGCGTCTTCCCCTCCCTGGTGGTGGAGGAGCTCACCGGGGCCCGGGAGGCAGCCGGGCAGGTCGGTGGCAGGAGGGTCATTGTGTCACCCTGGCACTTCCATGAGTGCCGAGGTGAAGACCCCCTTCCCACCATGCCCATCCCTCTTGGCTGTGTCTTCCCAGGAGCTGCCATCACCATCCCCTCCGCCCTTCTCCCCTCCTGGCCTTGCACCCGGGGCCAGCCTGGTCCCCAGCCCTGCTCCTGAGACAGCTCTGGGAGGTGAGTGCTGGGGAAACTGGGAAGGGGCTGGGAGAGCCTGGAAAGGCAGGCTGAGCTTCTGGGCACTCCCAGGTTGCCGACAGGATGGCACGGGCAGCGGGCAGAGTTCTCCAGACCTGGCAGCCACACGCCTGCGGCCGGTAAGTCCCTTCACAGGGATGCTGTGACCCCAAAACCTGCCCCAGCCCTTCTGTAATGGAGCCACCCTTGTGTTTTGTGTGGTCTGAAGGGGGATGAGTGGCCTCAGCATGTTGGCACCACTTCTCTCCCTCTCCCTTTCCCCCTCCTCTCTCTCTCTGCAGCTCCGTGCGCCACCCCCGCCGCCCGGCAGAGCCCCCGAGCCCGACCCCGAGCTTCACTTCAGCTGACCCTGTGGGTGCCCCCAGCCCCCCTCCCCCAAAAAGCTTTGCCCGAGCAAACCACCACAGGCTGCTGTCCCAGCAGCCTGGGCTGCTGCTGCCCCATGCCCCGAGCTGGTCTCTCCAGGGGCTGCATCCTGCCCAGTGCTGCTTGCAGAGTGGTCCTGCATCCCAGTACACCACCCAGAACCCTTTTTTGGGGTGCCCAGTGCCACAGCCAGGCCCCATCTCACCCCCCTCTTGCCTCCACCCTTCCTGCCTGGCATCACCTGTGCACTCCCAGCCCTGGTTCCTGGGGGCTCATCTCTGGACCCTGCCAGCCCCCACAGCACCTCCCCACTGGCAGGAGCGAGCATGCGGGGCTGTTCCAAATAAATCAATAAATCCCGCTGGCCCTGGCGAGGGGTTCAGCAGCTTTAATGGTTGTAGCTCATCTATGTACAGGGCGTTACACACCGAAGCTGGCACGGCCCCGGGGCTGCCCGCTGGCCTGGCCTGGGGCCATCCCGCCCCCAGGGCCGGGCTCCAGCCCCTCCAGTGCCGGGATGGGGCTGGGAGCTCCTCTCCACCAGCATCTCCAAGGGACCTGCCGGTGCAGGATTTGTGCCTGTGCCTGCTCTGCGTGGCAGGGGTGCCCGGGGGGCTGTGCTCTGTGGTGAACGTGCCCGGTGGCTGGGGGGTGCTCCCCACCGCCCGGGGGGGGCTCAAGCCGCTGCCTCCATCCCTGCCCCTCGCCGCGGCCCCCTCTGATTCTTCCCCCGAGCTGGGGGGCCGCGGGGGCAGCGGGCTCTGGATGCTGTCCTGCCCCTGCCAGGCCCGAGGGTCCCTCGGGGGGGTCTCCGGGGAGGGTGCGGTGGGTGGGACTCGGGTACCTATTGCCAATGGGATGAAGGCTGGCGCCGAGCGCGGTTGTCGGTGCCGCCGGCGCGTCGCTCCGGCCATGCCAAGCGCGTAGCTGCCCACCCGGGGCCGGGCACGGCTGCCCCGCGGCTGCCCCACGGCAGAGCCCCAGCCCCGAGGGGCCCGGGGGCTGCGCGCCTCCGGTGCACGCTCCAGCCGGGAGCGGAGAGGAGCTGCGGGGAGAGAGGCAGGACGGGGCTTGTGCCCACAGCCATGGCACCTCCCCACCACCCGCAAATGGGACTTCCCGGGGTCACTGCCTGTGGCTGGGCACATCCCGACCCCTGGTTCACCCTCTCTCCATCTCCAGCAGCAAGCTGAGACCCCCTAGGGCAGGGACACTGACAGTGCCCTCCCACCCGCCCCAGACATTGTCCCAGGGGCAGGGGACAGGCACTCACGTCACACACGGTCCTGCTCCGCGGCGCTGGGCTCCTGTGGGATGGAGGAGGAGGGTCAGCGCTCCCATGGAGCGGGGGCTGGGCCGGGGCTCTCCCGTGGCCACAGCAGTGACCCGAGGGGCAGAACCCCACTGAGTCTCCAGGAGCGACTACAGCCCAGGCACCATCTCTGCCTTTCCCCACCACTGCAGGGCGTGATGAGCAGCCAACAACCCTCGTGCTGGCTGTGACTGACACTGAGGGGACGGGGGATGGTCCAAGTGGCACCAGGGCTTGGGGACAAACATCCCAGGGCGGTCCTGTCACCGTTCTCCTGGGCCCCCATGTCCTGGAGCAGCCCAGCACCACAGGCAGCATCCAGGGCAAAAGCCTGGCACTGTGGAGAGGATCACCACGTGCCTGGGCTTGCCCTGCACCTAACTGCTTCCCCACGGATCAAAGGATTCCCAAGGCTCAGTGGGCCACAGGAGGCCCTGTCACCGCCTCCCCAGGTCTCTGGGGAAGGGCTGCAGGCCATCAGCTCTATCCTGCCATGGGCTGCCCTTTTCCATGAAACAGCTCAAACCTTCCAGCCTGGTCACCAGAAAGCAAAGAGGGAAACAGTGGGATCCTGCTTTGCCCTTATCCAGCATCCAGCCAGGCACCTTTCCCAGGCCGCTCCCGTGCTGACCCAATCCTGCCCCATCCCACCCCCTGCCAAGGGCTGCTGGCATGTGCATGGGCCGTGCCCAGCCCTGCAGAACCAGCCTGAGGGGATCTCCATGGCTTTGAAGCATGCCAGGAATTTTACCCAGGCATTTGGCTTCCTTTTTCTTCCACGGGTTTTGCCACACGTGCCCTGGTGCTGGTTTTGTGAGGCAAGCCAAGACCCAGCTCTTGGAGCTGCTGACACTACACAAGGGAGTGTTTCCCAGCCCCCTTCCATGAAAATCACCTTTTCCCAGCTGCAGAACCATGAATGAGTGTGTGAGCCTGTGAGTGAAATTCTGGGTGTCTGAACGCCACCAGCAGCCTCATTTGCTCACTGGTAACAGCACAGAGGCAATTCCAGGTAGAAAATCCCCTGGAGCTTTCTAACCCCTTCCAACAAGGCAGTTGGGTGGGATATTGGGAGGTACCAGGATACTGGGAGCTCCAGGCAGGGTGGGCTTTCCTCCTCTCTGAGCACAGCTCCTCAGGAGCAGGGGAAAACAGCCAAGAGATGACCACTTGGCTTTGCCATTTCCTGGCCTTCAAGGTAAGAAAGGCTCCTGGAGAAATCTGCCCCTGCCTGTTCCTTACTGGCCACATTGGACCCCATTGAGGCTATGGTTTTGGGGACACCACGTGCAGCAGTGGAGCTCTCCCAGGTCAAATCCCAATGGATGTTCCCAAAGGAAAAGGAGTCCCTTGCCAAGGAGAACGGGCAGCAGGTCCGCAGCACTTCCCACTGCCCCAGAGCAGGGTGGGACCTGTCACAGTCACTCCACTGCTCAGACACTGGAAAATGGGTGGGGAAAAGCAATCCCCCTCCAGCCCAGGGGACCACAGGGGGACCAGGAAGAGGAGGAACATACCTGCTGCTTCCCGTCCTCCCCTCCGGACTGTTTCCTGCTGCTCTCGTCTCTCCCCAGCTCATCGGCCTGTTCCTGCAGACTCAGGCTCCCGTGAATATCCGACACTTCATCTGCCGACGCCAGTCCGATCTCCTCCAGGCAGATGCCGGCTCCTTCCCGTGCCAGCTCTCCTGGGATGTTGGGACTCGACGCTCCCAGCACCGGCAGGCTCATCAGCCTGCGCTGGCGGCTCGAGCTCCCGGGAGCGGAGCCAGCATCCTGCAGGGACCCCGCCGTGCCGAGCCCCACCGGGCCGGACCCCGCCGTGCCGGACCCCGCGCCCGCCCGCCGGCTGTCACGGGTGCCGGAGCTGGCTGGTGTGTTCGCGGCTGGGCTGGCGGACAGGCTTTGCTCCGCGCTTCTGCCACTCTGGGTGCCCGTCGGGATGGCCCCGTTCTGCAGCCCGCCCGTGGGGACAGTCCCGTTGAGAGCCCGCTCCCGCTGCAGCATCTCGCTGCTGCGCTCCAGCTCCTCCGTGCTCGGCGGCCGGCTGCCGGCGGGCAGGGCCCCGTCCTGCTGCTCCTGCACGGACGGCTTCTTCCCGATGTGTGTGACACGGAACCTGCAATGGGGGCAAGACAGAGCAGTCTTTTCCATGCTGTCCCACCGCTGGATTCCCAGCTTTTCTGTACCTCCAGCCCCGATCTCCTCTCTTTGCCGTGATCTCCAGCCTTTCTGACCCATTCTGACCTATGCAAGCCATGTCCCCAGACTGATTTCCCCTTTCATTTTGAGTAAAACAAACAGAAAGAGAAGGATGGGGAGAGCAATCCAGGTCTTGGCTGGGGCAGAGCTTGTCCTCCCAGCAGCAAGATGGATCACAGCCCTTGGAAATGCTCCGAGACAACCTGGATGACAGAGTGCCCTCAGTGAGGGCAGGGACAGGGGTTTGGCAGTGATTTGGAAACAGGGATCAAAGGCTGGAGGAGCTGTTTGGCTAAAATCTGCCAGAGCACATTTTGCACCATACCCTGGAGGGGCGGATGGTACCTGAGTGTTCACCAAGGTTGCACCGTGAGCAGGTAACAGCTCAGAGCTCCTGGGTGGGCAGGAGAAAAGCTGCAGAAATGGGTCTGACACCCTCAAAAGGTGGGTTAATAATCAGAGGTGATGCAGCATTGCACATGGGGGGAAGAGAGGGGTTAGAGATCATAGACTCATGGCTTGAGTTGGAAGGAGGCCCTAAAAGATCATCCGCTCCCACCCCCTGCCATGGATAGAGACAACTTCCTCTCAACCTGGCTGCTCCAAGCCCCATCCAGCCTGGCCCTGAACACTTCCAGAGATCCAGGGGCAGCCACAGCTTCTCTGGGCACCCTGTGCCAGGGCATCACCACCAATTTCTTCCCAATATCCCTTCTAACCCTGCCTGCTGGCAGCCGGGAGCCATTCCCCCTTGTCCTGTCACTCTATGCCCTTGTCCCAAGTCCCTCTCCAGCTCTCTTGGAACCCCTCTAGGCACTGGAAGGGGCTCTAAAGTCTCCTTGAAGCTTTCTCCTCTCCCAATTCCCTCAGCCTGGGAGGGGCAAGGTGTCAGCAAAGCCTGAAAGTCTGAATTGTGATTGTGCTGATTGTGACTCCTCCTCACCAGCACTGCCAGCTGCTGCTGGACCAGCAGACAGGAAATCTCCACGGGGAGCTGGTGTCCACCAGCCAGAGCACTCCAGTGCCAGGACTGAGACCTCATGCAGCCCATGGCTCACCCACAGCTGCTCTTGCTGCGCTTGGATCACACATGGAAAACCCAACAGACCTGGCCGACCTGGCTGAGGTTCAGCTGCAAGTCAGGGTCAGGGCAAAGCAGAACTTCAGAAAGTTCTGGTGTGGAAAGAACAGCAAGACACAAAAGTCAAGCACATGGCAGCACTGTTGTTCCAAAGGAAAAAGCAGAGAGGTCCAAAAGATAAGAACAGATGCCAGGAGAGCTGGCAGAAATGAAGGAGACCACTTCCAGGCTGGAGCCCAGCCTGTGGACAGCACCAACTCCTCAGCAGGGCCAGAAAGCTGCTCAGGATTGGGAGGGTGGAGAAGAGAAATGCTCCAGTTCCAGAGAAGGTTCCCAGGCCAACCAGCAGAAAATGTGACCTTTCAGGTCTGTCTAGATATTTGGAGATAAGACACCAGTGCTGCGATTTGGGGAGACCAAAGAATGTTCTGGCCCTGAAGAGGGACAGGAAGGAGACACAAGTGACAGGATCACTTCTTGGTAATGCCAATGAGCAGTGTCAGCCTGGAAGAGTCAGGAGTGGATTCAGAGAGCAGGAAGGGTTTGGACTGGAGAGGGTACAAGAGGTAACGCAGCCAACCTCTGGCTGGTGAGGGAAAGCAGAGGAGCCCTGGCTGGCTGCCTCATCAGCATCCCTGGGATTCAGTGGGATGTGACACACTCTGGCTGAAGGGGCTGAGGACAGAGGGTCAGACACAGATATTTTATGGACAAGCTCTGCCACCGACTACAACTGGTTGAGGGAAAGCGGTGAGCTAAATGGTAAATCGTCCTATACCATACATAACCCTGAGTGCCACAGAAGTTTAGAACAATTTAGGTGCAAAAAGCCCTCAGGAGGTCTCCAGGCCAGACCCCTGCTCTTATCTGGGCTCCCTCCTACCCTCAAAGCACTTTGCCCGGAGCCCTGTCCAGTCAGGTTTTGGAAATCTTCAGGGATGGAGATTCCTCCACTCTTCAGGGCTGTCGAGGGCACCTGCATCCTCATGGCAGAACAGTTTTTTCTTGCATCTTTTCTGGATTTCTCTTGTTGTACCTCATGGCCATTGCCTCTTGCCCTTCCCAGTGCAGATCTCTGAGGAGAATCTTGTTCCATCTTCATTTAAATTCCACCCACCCTTTGGGAAGTGTTAGAGAACAATTAGATCATCCCTTTCTAATGCTCCAGGCCAAAAAAGCCTCTTCAGGTGTCCCATACTCCAGCCCTGGATGATCTTGGTGGACCTCCGCAGCTCCCATCCTTTCCACTCCTCAGGGATGAGCCTGTTCCTACCAAGACCAGGGCTCATTCCATGTAGGAGCGGGCTGGACTCTCAACCACTGCATCCAAGGCAAGAACAATACCAAAAATAAAGGAGAACAAGACTTGAGGGTGTCTTTAACTCTAGGGGTGGGTTAAAGAAGCCCTGTTTTGTAGGGTCAGTGCTGGGTCAAAGTACTTCAAGTTATTTGTCATAAATAAGACACAGGAAGGGCAATCCTGGAAAAGTCATCCAGGACCTGGAAGTGAAAAGGGGCCAGTCTGGAAAGAAGAAGCAGAATTTGGAGGTGGGATTGTACCTCTTGGGCACATAGGCCCCTTAGCAGTTGGACCTTGTACCAAAGAGATTCAGGATTGAAAGTAAAGCCTTGCAGAAACGGGATGACCGCCCTGTGGAGAAGGCTGGTGTGGGGTGGGATACTGACAGGGTTAAAGAGGAAAAGCAGGAATTGAGGGAAGGTGCCTTTGGGAAAGGACAGCATCTTCTGCAGCACTCTGAGTGCTGAGAGGAGGCTGGGAAGAGCACGGACAGAGGACACGGAGGAGGGGATGGAGCTGGGCACCAGCCAGGGAATGAATTAGCGGTGAGTAGGAACTGTGCAAAGCCCCGGCCTGCTGGGCACCACCTCCAAGGACAGCCACGGGCACGGAGGGAGCCGGGAGCTGGCAGTGCCCACAAGATGTGATCCAAGCTGCAGTTGGGCCTGGGGAGGTCCAGCAGGTCTCCCTCCTTCTCCAGCTGCCCAGAAAGCCCCAGCTCACCTCCCTGCTGAGGTTCCTGCCCATGGTGGTGGAAAAATCCACATGATAGGACACAGGGAATGGCTTCCCGCTGCCAGAGGGCAGGGATGGATGGGAGATTGGGAAGGAATTGTTCCCTGGGAGGGTGGGATGGACCTGGCACAGAGAAACTGTGGCTGCCCCTGGATCCCTGGCAGTGTTCCAGGCCAGGCTGGACAGGGCTTGGAGCAGCCTGGGACAGTGGAAGGGGTCCCTGCCATGGCAGGAGATGGAATGAGATGAACTTTGAGGTCCCTTCAAACCCAACCCACTCCACAATTCCATGCCCCCTTTGGCTCAGCATTCCCATGAAAGGACTGTCCCTCTGGACCGCAACGTGAAGTTTCATCAAGGCTCAGGCCCTGAATGAAAACCTTGTGCACAATCTGAGCATGGCAGAGCGTTGTGTCTCACCACCGTGGCCATCCAGGGACCGACCAGCAGCTGCTTGTCACCCTGCCCCAGTCACCAAAGCCGGAGGGAGCCAAGCCCAGGAAGACTTTCCCAACCCCTTCTGCTGGGGAATGGGGCAGCCTGGGCGAGCCTACAGACTGTTCTACAGGTTAGTGACGACACAGAGACCACAGGAAGCTCAGGAAGTCCCTTGAGGTGAAACCAGGTGGGGATGGAAAGCATTTGTGGCAAGTATCAGGAACACTCCCCTATTCTTACATTGCTGCTGTGTCATCTAATTACGGACATTGTTGGAGGCAGCGACCTGGAGCAGCACAGCCACTCTTTCATCCTAAGCAGGTGGTGGCTTGCACCTGGGACATGCTGTCCCCTCTGTCCCTCCCAGTGAGGTCCCTAAAGCCCCCAGTTGGGCAGCAAGGGCCCTGCTTGCACTGAGCTGGGACAGCGGGCTCTGAAAGGACACGGAGCTGGGGCTGTGCCCAGCACTGACTCAGCAGGAAAACCCAGCTTGAGTCACCTTCCCGGAGAAGGAGGGAAGCCACCGGTGCATCACAGCCTGCCACACACCACAGGCATTTCCAGGTGCAGGAACCACCTGGCTGCTCAGGAGCTCCAGCTGCAGAGCTGCTGCTGGGGCATCTCAGTGCAGAACAGCAAGAGGGAACCTTGGGCACCTGGGGAAGGGGGAAGGAACAGGAGGACTGAGGGGAGCCTGTGGTGCTCATTCCAGCAGGGAATGTCTGGCAAAGCTCGTTTGGTACCTGCCCACTGAGAAGACGGTGGTCTCTCCGGGATGCATCCTGCTTTTGCCCTCCTTGGACCGCCCCTGGCGCTGCAGGGGGTGCCTCTTCCTCCTGCTGCAGTGGATGCAGGGGGCCTGCGTGGAGCCCAGGTGCACCGTGTGGTGATGTGGCGGGCCCCCGTCCTGGCTGCTGCTGTGGTGACAAAGGCTGCAACAGAAGATGACAGGTTGTGTCACCTCAGGGAGACATCCCACCCCCGGTGCAGCCCCACCACAGCAAGGCCTGGGAGCAGCAGCTCTGGGGGGAACCTCTGCTGGGGACAGGAATGAGGAAGAGCTGTTCCACTTGACAGTGGGGAGAAGCACTCCTCAAAACCCTCAGGAGAGCAGGACTCCCCGCTGGGAAGATGCTTTGTAGCAGCTGGAAAGGGGCTGCTTGTCCCTCACTGTGGAGCAGCCACAGGTTGCTATGAGCTTCCCTCACCTGGGCACTGGCAAAGGCACATCCCCTTCATTTTCACCCAACATCTCCTTGAGGGCCTCCACGTTTGCTGAAGAGAGAGAGAAAAACAGGAACGCGTCAGCCAAAGTGGTCAGCACGGCTCTGGGCCAGCCAAGGAAGTGCTCACCTTCATTTTGGATGATGCATCTCACAATCTTCTCCACGGTGTCGTCGTTCTTCTCGGCCTCATCTGAAAAGAGACAACGTGGCACTGAGGGCTGGGATTCCAGGGCTCCGCTCACTCATCCCTTCCCAGGAGCAGCTGCATCAGCAGAGTTGTTGGAGAAGCCTCGAGTCCCCTGTCACACTGGGAAGCCACTGGGGAACACCAGATCCCTGATCCTGGAAAAGAAATGGCTGAGCCAGCAGCTGTGTGTGCAGGGAGAGGGGGTGGTGATGCTCCTTCAGAGCATCTGGAGAAATAAGAGGGAAGCAGGTTCTAAAAAGTTGAAAGAGGAGGGTCCTTGTCCAGCCCTGGAGCCCCTGGCTGCAGGATGCTGCAAGTGCTCAAGGCTCCAAGGGTAAACAGGACATGTCCACAGAAAATAAACCCACTGAGACCTGCTAAACACAGAAATGGGGAACACACAGTGACAGAGAGAGCCCCAGAGCTGCACACTATTGAAAGTTTAAAAGACTGTTCTGAGCAAAGCAGGTGCCTGCTTTGTTGTGGAGCTCACCCACAGCTTTCAACTCAACCTGCTTCCAGCCACTGTTGCAGGCAGGAGGCCTGGATGGGTGGATGGATGGATGGATGGATGGATGGATGGATGGATGGATGGATGGATGGACGGACAAACCTCCAGCCTGGTCAGTGGTGTGAGATGTTGCTGTAAGCAGGTCAGAGCTGTGGCCTGGCAAACCTTAAAGGCTCAAGAGCTGCTACCATGATCTTGGAAGATCTCCATCATCCCATGGAGATGTTTCCCTGGGCTGTGGCGTGTCCAGAGGGCAAAGCCCATCCTGGAAGGTTCAGAGACTGCCTCCATGTCATGTACAGCCAAAACATTAAAGCGGAGGAGCACATCCATGGGCACCTGGAAGCTCTGGCTGCAGCCGAGGAGCGGCATTTCCCTCCTGAGCACAGGCAGCAGCAGCAGGAGGTGCTGATCCTCCCCAGCACTGCCGGCAGCACTCGGAGCTGGAGGAGTTCTGTGGCACCATGTGGCTGTTCCCAGCCTGGGAAGCAGCCGGAGGAATGTGTGTTCCCCACTTCAGCAGACTCAGGCAAGCACCGAATGACAGAGCTCGCTTGGGCCGGGCACCCACGCTCCATGCGGCAGTGACTTCCCAATCCAACCACCCCAGAGCCACTTGCAGTGGCCTGAAGCCATGGAAAAAATTCCCTACAGGTCCCTTCCCCATCCAGCAACAGCCCTGATTCTGTGGTCTGCATGAACACAGCAGGGACCAGAAGAAGACTTGACCAATAACAAACACCAGCTGGCTCCCTGCCAGACTTCCTAATGCCAGAGGGCAGAGGCACTTGTGCTCCAGCTGGGAGAGGTTTTCCTTGAGGGAACAGGGGTTATGATTAAGATTCTGGGGATTCAGCAAGTTCTGAATATTCATCAGAATTACCTTTTGGTGATAATGCTCCTTTGGGAAGGGCCAGGCACTGGCTCCCACCTCCTTGTCACCTCCAGCCATTGTCAGCTCGTGGATCAGAGGGATCCCTGGCCCTCACACTCCCGATCCCCAGGGAACACTGCGCTTCTCTCACCGCCCCAGCCCTTTCTCCCAACCCAGCCACACGTGACAGGTAACCCTCCCAGCCCTGTCCCACAGCCCAGAAGGGTGCATGAGGAGCACCAGCCCACACCAGGCACAAAGCCGAGTCCCCAGCGAGCCCCCACTGCCCCAGCACTCACCATCCTGGAGCTCCTCCACCCCGTCTTTGTCATCTGGGTCAAGCTCGTCCCGGAAGGTGCGGCACCGGTAACCCTTCTTCTTCAGGACATGGCAGATCAGGAACCCCACCAGCCCCATGATGAAGAAGACAAGGACAAGGAGGAAGACCACAGTAATGCCGTGTTGGGGATCTGACTCCCCATCGTGGGGGTCGTGATAGTCTGACATGCGGATCTAGGAGGAGGAGGAAGGCAGGTCAGAGCCGCGGCGCTCACCCCCACCCTGTGCCCATCCTCCCGTTCCTCCTGCGGGGCAAGGGGCAGCTCCCAGCCGGAGGCAGCTCCCAGCCGGGGGCAGCTCCCAGCCGGGGGCGGCTGCCCGGGGCTCAGCCCGAGCCCCGCAAGGTTCGGCGCGGTGCGGGGCCGCACGGAGGACAGGACCGGCCGGAGGTGGCTCCCCGCGGTCTCCCAAGGACACTGCTGCCCCGCACGCCCCCGGCAAGAGGCATCCCAAGGGCAGCGGCGGCGGCAGCGTCCCCGCAGGCCCGCCGGCCCCGGGCTGCGGCGCTCCCCCGTCCCTTGCAGGCGGCTTCCCAAGGGCACCGGTGCCCCGGCCTGCCCGGGGCTCTGCGGCGGGCGGCGTCTCCCGGCTCGCCCTTGCCGGAGGATGGCTGAGCATCCTCCCGCGCCGCGCCGCTCCTCCGCAGCCCTCGGTACTCACGGCCGAGGCCCTCCAGCGGCACCGGCACCGGTACCGGTACCGGCAGGCGGGGAGCCGCGGCAGCCGGGCTGGCGGAGGGCCGAGCCGCCGGCCGCTCCCGCATCGTCCTCCCGCAGAACCGAGCCGGCTCCCTCCGCCTCGGCTCCTCCAGGCGCTCCCGGCTCCTTTCCCAAGGGCTCGGCGCCCGCGTTCCCGCTCGCCGGCTGCGCTGCCCGGCACGGAGAAGGTCCCCCCCGCCTGCCCCCCGGCCCCGCTGCGGCGGTACCTGGGCCTGCGGTCCTCCGCAGCGCTCTCCTCTTCACCTTCACCTTCACCTTCACCTGCCTCCTAGCAACCCCGCATCCCCGCGGCTGGGGACCGCGGCCAGCATCCTCCGGTCCCCGGGCCCCGGCTCCCTGCCTGCCTTCCCCGGGAAGGAGCCAGCTGCCTCTGCCTGCCGCTCTCTGCCGCTCTCTGCCACAAGAGCACCCGCCTGTCCCGATCCCAGAAAAAAATCTCTCCGGAGCTGTTTCGGCGGAGGAAGGCGCGGAGAGGAGCTCGGGGAGATGCCGGAGGCTGCAGCAGGACACGCAGGAGCGCTGCTCAGGGAAGCTGCCAGGCTGCCGCCCGCCCCGGGGTGAATAACCTCACCCGCACGCGTGCCAGCCCGAGCTCCCCTGGCACCTTCCTTGCCTTGAATTTTAGGGCACTGAGCCCTGGCGATGGGAGGGAGAAAAGTGGAAGTGGGGCTCAGTGAAAGCAGGACTGATCACACAGCAGCGTTGTGGGGGGGAGAGGGGTGCAGACCCCCACATGGGGATCCCAGCACCGAGGAGAGGGTGGAGAAAGAGCCCCGGGAGTTTCCTGTGTCTCCCTCCTTTCTAAAAAAGGAGTGGCTAAGCCATTGGAAATCTCATGCTGCGGTGGTCCCATGACCTCCTTCTCCACCTCCATCACATTATCCTCACTCTGGGAGGCTTCACCCACCACTCCTTTGCTACTGGAAATCAGACCTACTCCTCTCCCTTCTTCAGCCAGCTGCCAGTTCTCCACCCAACCCCTGAGGGATGCAACCCTTGAAACCCCTCCCAGCCCATCTCCACTGAACCAAGCTCTGATCCATGCACACGTTCCTCCGTGGGAATTATCCCATTGGAATGATCCCACCACGGCCTGCCTTGCTGTGACACAGCCTGTGACCCCTCCAGGCTCTCAGCCGTGCCTCGCTGAGGGCTCCTGTCCCTCTGCACAGGTGACCAAGTCGGCTCCCAGGAGCCTCGTCCATCAGTGTGCCTTCAGGAGGTCACCACGTCACAGCTGACACCCATCTGCCCGCTGTCCTGGCAGGGAGGCAGGAATGGAACATCTGTGCAAGAACAAGACTTCTCCTGCCATGGATTGCTGAGCCACAGGAGAGGAGAGCTCTCCAAACCCTGGACCAACAAGCTGCTGCATCATGCAAGTCTCAGCTGAGGAAGAGCTCCCAAAGTAAAGCTCGAAGGCAGTTTGCTCCTTGCCCTTGTTTGTGCACAGGGGGAGCTGGCAGCTCTGGGTTTCTGCAGGGCCCTGAGGGGATGCAGTCATGGCGAGCGTATTCCCGTTGTTCTCCTCGTGCCCACGCACGCTGTCCTGCACAATAAATCACTCTTTCTCCTCCTGGGCGTTCCCGCCCACCCAGAGCATTGCTGCACCCTGCCCCCTGCCAGCATCCCACCCTTTTCCCGACTCCAGCCGTGCCAGGCTGATCAGGACTCCCCATTCGAGGGGACATTCCCAATTTCCCACAGCCTCTGGTGTCAAGGCATTTCCACAAGCTGGGGGACACAGCATGGCACAGCAGCCTGGCCCTGCCTGAGGACAAATCCTGGCCTTCGTGGGGTGAGCCAGGATGAGGAGGGAGTTCTGTGGCTGTCAAGCTGCTCCCTCCTGGCTCTGCAGCTGGATTACCCCAGCTGATGGTTTCTCTTCCTAATTCTCCCAACCAGGGATCACCTGCTCCCAGTCTCCACCTTGCTTCCATCACCTCAGCTTCAGTGTCCCTCCAGGGCCTTAGTCCTTGTCCCACACAGCACCTCACAGGTCATCCAGAAACAACACCCTGGCACCTCTGTGCCCCAAATGCAGCCAGCATTTGAGGCATGAACCCACACAATGGAGCTCCCCTTGTGAGCAGGCTGGCCGTGTTCATCCTGGCCGTGGGGGGACAGAACCCACATGGGGTAAAGCCCCACACCAAGCTGGCAAGGTGCAGCCATGGCTGCGGGCTGCCTGCTCATCCACAGTTTGGGATCTGCATCCTCTGTCCCTCCTGATGCCATCCCAGCCTGTGTGACCCCACCAGCCGAGGCAGTGGCATCTGAGACAATCTGGCTGCAGCTCTGGGACAGGCAGCTGCCTTCTTTCTGCCTGCCCACCTCATCCAGCACCACCAACTGCAGGAGGAGGAGGAGGAGGAGGAGGAGGAGGAGGTTACACAGTCCAGAACATGGCACAGTGCTGGTCCAGACAGTCCCCTCTGCCTGGTGAGGGGCACTTCTGTGGGAGTTGTCCCTGTATTTCCCATTTCCCTTTCAATGAACTGAGCTCCTCTTTTCCCATGTTTTCAGGACTTATGAAACATCCTTGCTCGTGGATGAACCAATTAGTGATGAACTCCCCTACAGTGGTAAGTTGGAGTTGCCTTTTTTCCTCATGAGCTCAGCTGGACTTCTTGGGATGTTCTACTCTGCATTGATCAGGGCCAAAGTGTCAGCACTCCTGACCTCGGAGATGGCCTTAGCCATGCCTGGAAGTATCCAAGGCCAGGTTGGATGGGGTTGCTCTAGTGGAAGGGGGTTGGAATGAGATGAGATTTAAGGTCCTTTCCAACCCAAACCATTCTGCCCTTCCTTCCCAGGCCCTCCCTCAGGGCTTCCCTGAACCCTGGAGGTCCTTGGAGGCTTCACTCCCTCTCCAGGCATTGCCTGGAAACACCGGAATTTCAGCCTTTGGAGGCTTGGGAGGGAGGGGACAGAGTGGTCGAGGAGAGGCTGGTGGGACAGTGCTGTCACCTGCCACCCTGTCCCTCGGCTGGCTCTGGTCCCAGTGAAATCCCACGTTACCTCTTGTCTGCTCTTTTCCTGCTCCTCTTCTGCAGCTGTTGGAGCAAATGTCAGCCCACAAACAATGGGACCACGTCCTTTTGGGGATCAGCCGCCCTGGCCCCGCTGCCTGTCCATGTGGCAGCTAAATGGGCTGGACTGCCCAGATCCAGGCTCCTCTTGGGATCTTCACTTCAATGCTCAGCCCAAAAACTGTCCTCACGTCTGCAAAGCTGCTCCATCCCATCGTGTCAAACGTGTGCCTGAATCCTCAGCCCTGCTCCAGCTTTCCAAACGTGCCCAGCAGCTAACGGCCGTTAAACCACAGCCTGCTTTTGCTCTCTGAGCACAAAGAGCATCTAAAAATATCCCTCTCTGAGCCTTCCCTGCTCTGCTCCAACACCCATGAAGATGCCTGGAAGCATCTCTGGGAAGCACCCAGCTTCCAGAAGGACAGCTCAGGCAGCAGAGTGATCCCAGCTGGAGTGTCTCTGCTCTCCTCAAAGAGGGCTGTGTCTCTGCTCTTCTCAAGCAGGGATGTGTCTCTCCTCAAGCAGGGATGTGTCTCTGCTCTCCTCAAGCAGGGCTGTGTCTCTGCTCTCCTCAGGCAGGGCTGTGTCTCTCCTCTCCTCAGGCAGGGCTGTGTCTCTGCTCTCCTCAGGCAGGGCTGTGTCTCTCCTCTCCTCAGGCAGGGCTGTGTCTCTGCTCTCCTCACCCCGTCCCCAGGCGGGCACTGGGACATGCCCCGGGTGGCTCCGTGTCCCCAGGCAGGTGTTATCTGGTGGCAGCAGCTGGTGGAGCAGGGACAGGACAGCCGTCATGAGGGAACAGCGTCAGAGCTCCGGAGCTCCCGGCACAGCCGTGGTGTTCAGCACGTTTAAATCCCAGAGATTCCTGGAGCAATGTACCTGGACAGCTCAGGCTGCAGTGTGCACCAGCCATCCAGCTCGTAACTGCTCTTATCAGACTCTTCTCAGAACCCTCTGGAATCCATCAAGGTTTCTAAGACATAAACTGTGCTAAATAAGAAAGAAAAAGCTGAGAAACCAAATTCCAAGACCACAAGAAGTAAATAACAGCAGCAAAGCACCTGGACTGTGACCAGTCCCATATTCTGAGAGGTGCACGCAGAACACGTGGACAAGACAAAGGCACCAGTAAGAAATGTGTGCAAAGAGCTAGAATGTATAAATAACTGTATAATGCAAACAATAAACAGCTTCTGCCTAATCATATTGCTCAGTGGTCCAGGAGTCCTGAATTTCCCAGTTTCCCCTGCTGGGTGCTGGGCTTGGTGCCAGGTGCCCTCTCTGAGTGTCCCCAGGCACAGCCGGGCCTGTGGGGTCATGGTGAGAGGGTCCTGGGTCTCCTCTGGAAGTGTCCCTGCCCCTGGCAGGGGATTGGAATGAAATGATCTTTAAGGTCCCTTCCAGTCCTATCCCCTAACCCATCCTGTGATCCTTTGTCCACGCTAGAGCTGGGGTCCTAAAAGGAAACCCACACAAGGAGCGGTGTGGAGGGGGCAGTGTTCCCACAGGGGGGACAGAGACAGAAATATCCTTTAATAACCCCACCATTTCATCCCACCTTGACACCTGCAGCCAGCACAGCACCCAGAATTCCCAGCCATCCCACCATGCCCCACCCCATACAGGCAGGAAGCTCCCCTTGCTGCTTCCAAGGGGTTTCCATGCCCTGGGAATGCCAGCCCGGCATCCACTGATCTGCCAGGGAACATCCCCGTGCCCATCCTCAGGCAGCTCTGGGGGTGCTGCCCTCTCTGAGGAGCCTGTCTCCAGCACAGCTTCCTTCATCCCAAACCGCTGGAAGCCAGCAAGCAGGAGGCTGGCAGGACCAAGCACTGATTTTGGCTTGGTTTTCCAAGCCTTTGGACAAGGTTTCCTGCTCTGTCCGTCCTTCCTTCCCTCCAGCCCCAGGGAGCAGCTTTGTGCTGCCATTCCCAGCCAGCCCTGCCCACGCCATGCTCCTGTTTCCACCTCCTGTCAGCTCCAGCTTTCCCCCATCCCGCTGCCTCCTCACACCAACGATTTCCCACCCAGCCTTTGTCCTCCTCCTGCCTGGCAGCGCCTCCAGAGGGTTCTTTCCAAAGCTCTGGAGAGCCTGCAGCCCACAGGGTGGCACCTGGTGACAGCTGGCAGTGGCAGGTCCCATCCCTCACGGACTGGGATGGAACGAGCCCACCCGGGTGTGGGCGTCCCATGGGAACCCCCCTGCCCCATCCCCTGTGCCCTGGGCGGGCTGTGACCCCTGGGGGTGACAGGGGAGCTGGGAGCGACTGGGAGACCACTGGGGGTGACTGGGGGCCGACTGTGGGCCTGGAGAAGAGAATCCTGTGGCCAGCTGGGCTCACTGGGAGGAACTGGAGCAGCTGGGAGCGACTGGGAGCAGGTGAGAAGGAGGGAGGAGTGACTGGTGGACAGTTATGGGAGAGAACCAGCAGGCATCTGGAATTAACTGGGAATGACTGAGAGGCAGCTGTGGGCCTGCAGAAGGGAATTCAGTGGGCACCTGGGATCTGCTGGGGGTGACTGGGATCTGCTGGGGGTGACTGGGAGTAGGTGAGGGGCAGTGGGGGCTGACTGGGGAGACGGCACCGGGCGACGGACAGAGTGCAGCCGGTAACTGTCACCAAGGGGCGCCGCTGGGGGCACGCAGGTGAGACCGGGCTGTGGCTGCGGGTACCTGGGGGCCGCTGGGCTGCGGGGGCGGGGTGCGGGCGAGCCGGGGCACAGCCGTGAGCCGGGGGCGGCAGCGGGGACAGCTCGGGACGAGCGGAGGGCGACACCGGGACCGCGGGGCGGCCACGCCCCCACATGGGCGTGGCTTTGTTGTGGCCACGCCCCCATCCCAACACACACCACGCCCGGTCCCCGGCGGGTGTCGCAGAGTGATGACGTAAGCGGGAGCGCGGCGCGGCCTGTCCGCCATGGCGAAGACCGTGGCCTATTTCTACGACCCGGACGTGGGGAACTTCCACTACGGTGCGAGCGGGGCCGCGCGGGGCCGGGGCAGCACCGGGGCGGAGCGGCGGGGCGACCGCCGCGGGGCTGGGGCCGGGCGGGGCCGGCTGGAGGCGGGGGGGTGGCCCAGCCCGCCCTCGCTGTCCCCTCTCCCCCGTCCCCGCTCCCCCGTCCCCCTCAGCCCGGACCTGCTGCGGAGCGCGGCGCCCGGCGGGCGGCGGGAGCGGCCGTTGTGCCCCCGTTGTCGGCCCCGTTAACCCCGCGCGGTTCCGTTCCAGGCGCGGGGCACCCCATGAAGCCGCATCGCCTGGCGCTCACGCACAGCCTGGTGCTGCACTACGGCCTCTACAAGAAAATGATCGTAAGCCACGCGTGTCCCCGGCCGGGCGGGGGGGACAGCAGGGCACCCCGGGGGGCTCAGCCGGTGGGACACCTCCAGCCTCAGCGCCCAGGGCTGCTTTGGGGTCCCACGGGTGGGGGACAGTGACTGGGGATGGCTGTAGGGCTTTGGGAGCCCCAGGGGTGGGTGACAGTGCTCAGTGGTGGCTGTAGGGCTTTGGGAGCCCCAGGGGTGGGTGACAGTGCTCAGTGGTGGCTGTAGGGCTTTGGCAGCCCCAGGGGTGGGTGACAGTGCTCAGTGGTGGCTGTAGGGCTTTGGGAGCCCCAGGGGTGCGTGACAGTGCTCAGTGATGGCTGTAGAGCTCAGTCCTGCACTGTTGGTGCAGCTGCAGAGGATTCCAAGGAGCTGCTGAGGTCAGGCAACTGTAAAGATACAATTTATGGAAATAATTTTTGATGTTTAGACATGAGAAGAATTTCCTTAATTAGTAAAATTCCCAAGTAAAACCACATCCAGTGCAGTGACTGTGTGGGAATGCAGCACTTGGGGGAACTGTGGGGAGTCTTTGCAAAGTTAATTTTCCAGATTCTTACTGTCACTGTGTGGATTTCCACAAGCAACTTCCCCAGAGGTTTTTTTTTATTGTTTCCACAAGTGACTTCCACAAGAAACTTCCCCAGAGCATTTTTTTTTAAATTTCCACAAGTAACTTCCCCAGAGTTTGTTTTAGTTTTTGGTTGGGGTTTTTTGGTTTTTTTTAATTTCCACAATTCACTTCCCCAGAGTTTTTTTTTAATTATTATTTCCGCAAGTAACTTCCCCAGAGTTGGGCTTTTCCTTGCAGGAACAACCAAAAAACCTGTTCTGACCTAACACTTCTAAATGGCAAATCCCTGCCTGAAGGAGGCAGTGGGCACAGCTCTAGATTTTTAGTCTTGAAATTCTTTTTTTTTGGGGGGGTTATGTTTTCCACAAGCTGCCACTGGGAAGCTGAAAACCTCAGAAACCTTCATCCCCAAGCAGTCAGGGACTGGCAAAATCAGGAGCAAGTAAAGCCAGGGGCTGGAGCAGCTGGGGCTGTGAAACTCCTGCTGATTCTGCGTTGTCTTGCAGTGGTTCTCCCTCTGCAGTCCCAGGCTGTGCAGCCGTCGGGGTGGCTTTGCCTCTTCCCACCTTCCCCAGCTCAGGAGCGTGGGTGGGATTGCTGGGAAGGCTGCAAGGAGCCAGCTGTGCTCTGCCAGCAGCTGGGTGAACATTTTGGCCTGGTTTTCCCTCCCTTTGTGTTGGATTGCCACGTCCCCGCTCCGACAGCCTCGGGCTGCCCAGTGGGAGCCATTTCTCCTCTCTTTGCCATCAGTTTTGGGCTGGTTTGGTTTAATGAACCCCCCAGGATTCCTGGGGGATCCCTGGGAATAGGGAGCTGCCTCATCCCCTGTTTGAGTTGTCAAAGGCAGTAGCCTCTGAGAAACACCAAATTCCACACGGAAAACACCAGGAGAGGAGGAGATGGGCTTGTTCTGCTTGATGGTGGCTCTGAAGATGCCCAGGTTTCCTGCTCAGCACAGAAAACAGGGCCGTGGTGCAGCTGTCCTGAGGAATTTCCCTTTGGAGACCAGCTTGTGCATCTTCTGTTATGTTCACCTTCCACTTTTTCTGTGAAGTGGTTGCTTTAAATAAGAGAAATAAAAATTAGAGAAATCACAGAAAAAAAATCTTATCAATTGAATTCCCTCTCCCAGTGCTGTTAATTTTTAACTCCCCCTCTGCTGAGGGGTGTGCCCTAAGTGCCAAACCTGTGTTGTCACAAGGTCCTGGATTTGAGTCCATCCACCTCCCTGGCCATTCCCTCCATTTCCTTTCCAGTGGAAACAAAACTTACACAACTCTTCCATCTGTCTGAGAGGTTTCCCCAAATAATTTGGAACCTGTCAGTAAATCTTAGAGAGGGATCAGAACCACCCCTAGATCAAGGTCTTAAATTGCTGAGTGAGGAAGGAATGATCCCCCCAGGGAAGGAAAAGCTGTGGTTTATTTTGCTGTCCAAGCAGGAGAATGTGCCATGGGGTAGGAAGAAATTTTGTGGCAAGAGCTGCAGTCAGGAGAGGCAGGTTTTGGATTTATGAAAGGGAAAAATGAGAGGAGAGCAGGTTCCATGGAGCAGCTGTTGAATTTAAATGAACACAAGTGCCAGTGTTGGCACAGTTTTTATGGACCTTGTGCAGGCCACTTAGCAATTAGCTTGAGATTCCTCCCAGCCCAAGGAAACAGAATTTGGATGGGAAATAACTCCTGCTTTTGTCTCTGGAAGGTGTTCAAGCCCTACCAGGCCTCCCAGCACGACATGTGCCGCTTCCACTCCGAGGATTACATCGACTTCCTGCAGAGGGTGAGCCCCAACAACATGCAGGGCTTCACCAAGAGCCTCAACGCCTTCAACGTGGGCGACGACTGGTGAGTGCCCAGGGGCTGCTCTGCCCTGCCCAGGGCCCTTCTGGAATGTGCCATTCCTGCCTTGGTTTAGGCAGCATGAGGAGTGTGTCCCTCCTGTGCTGTCTGCGTTTGCAAAGCCAGCTCTCTGCTGAGGAAGGCAGGAGCTTCCCCAGAAGAGAAATGCAAACCCCCTCCCTACAAATTATTGTAATTTTGAAATGAAGGGGCTCTCAGGATGAGGGTGTGGAGCCTCCCTTATTCCTTTCCCTTCGTGGGGAAGTTGCAGTGCTCCTTTTCGGGCCTAGATTTGGGCTTGCTGGGCTGCATACTCTGCTTGTTCTGGAAGAGCTTTCTGTTCTTCTGGAATGTGGCATCTTTGGTAAGAACGTGAATGCTGCATCCAGCTCTGGGGGACAAAGAACATC